TGGCCTCAGATTTCTGAATCTGTTTCATGATCATTTGTCAATCTAATAGGCAAGTAGGTATCAGCATCCAGTGCCTGACACACGCGGTCGGCTTTTGGAGTCTAAAGCAAGCTGGTTTCCTCACGATGTTTTCCTTCACCGTTCGAGCACACATAGAAAGAAGGTCGATTGTTGCACAGCCGCATGAGAGTCGCACGCTGAAGCCACTAGGCCAACACTGCATCCAATAATAATTTTAATAGATAAATTAACATATAATGTGGGCGCGCTGTATGTTACTTGTCACTAAGTGTTCACCATCATACTCTTTCGATTTCATCATAAAAAAAACAAGTCTCATTCAACCGTTTTAACTAAAGTACTCATCTATCTCTGATCACAGCATAAATACACATAAGCACAACTGATTTAAGGCAGTTTTAGCCGCGATATACCATATCTAGATCTACTTAGGGTCCTTCAAGAGAGAGTACCAATTCTTAATAGGCCGGCAATGCACTCGTGAACCCTCTGGTATTGAGTGTCCATGGGCGGCGGTGTCACTTAATATCATGTGAGCCTCCTGCCCATTTGCCCACTCGTATAAATAAAAACTCCATTAGACAGAAAGAGATGAAAGAGTACGTTAGATAAAAAGTGCAACTAGACTGATTTAGTTTATTTGTGTGCAATGAAAAAGTTATGGCACCATGGCACCAAGTTAGAAGTAAAAAATATGTTTATTATGGAACATATGATACATGTATCAATTATTTCACGTCATTAAATTTGAATTTGTAGGCATCCCGACTCATCGGCAAAGAAGACAGAGGGTGTAGGCCGAGAGAAAAGCCGGCGTAAAAAACTCTCGGTACTCTTTTAAAATAGAAAATCATCAAACAACACTTATTTTAAAACAAATGTCGCAAATAAATTAGAAGTAGCCTGTCTAGCACTAGTCCCGGGCCCTTTTATCAGCTAGATAATCGTTAACTTTATAGTAAGCCTTTTTACACAGCTTTTCTTTAATACATTTCTTAAATTTATTAAAAGGTAGAGATAAAAGAGCCTCTGGGATTTTATTAAAGAAGAGTATCCCTTTTCCCAAAAAAGAATTACTAACTTTAGATCTAGTACGGGGAAATTGCAACCTGCGTTTGTTCCGAGTATTAACATTGTGCGTATGTTCTATTCTAGAACTAGTAACTAAAGGCCTTTTCAAAGTTATATTATTCTTACATGCCCCTTACAATGCTCACAGTTCGCTACGGAATAGTTTACATAGCTAAACGATTAAAGTGAAAAAATGTCATACACAAAGAAGAGAGTCCACAAAGAGAAAGAAATAACTAGTTTTATCAATGTCCAATCTATATTGCGTTTATGGCTTCTATCTGGATGTTACAAACTACAATTATTGTTTCTTATCAAATGCACAAAACCATAGAATATTTACAAATTTTCTAAAAACAAAATGCGTATTCAAACATTAAAATTTTCCGCCTAATGTAATACCTATTTGTTTCCCACCCACGATACAGCAGTAAACTTGTAAAGATATTTGCATACAAAGAATCAAAGTTCACGTGTAACAGGCACGTACCTTGTTTACGTTATGATTTGAGAGATAACCTTTATACTGCTCTATACGCCGAAATAGGTATGATAAAATATTTTCCTCTTATTTAACAATGCCGTAAAAACGGAATATCTAAAGCTATACGGAGTGACTGGCTAAGTTGTGAGGGTATAAATTCCGAAGCACGGGTTATTTTTAAAGTTCACCATTATACAGTTTGACAAGCTATCTTTTCTATAACACAAAACAATTATAGTAAATATAAATGTTATAAAAATTAAAAATGTAAAAATAATAAAAATACAGAGAGATTCATTATAATAATAATATAATAATAAAGTTTATTTTGCATCTAATATTGCATTGTACGAGTTTATGATACAGGTATTTTACCATCTTTCTTGAGAGACTGGTGCTTGAAAAAGGTTGGGAAAACCGGTAAAAATTACAATAAAACATAGATCAACATTTTAGATCTTACTTGTAATTTTTTGCCAAAAACTTCGTTTTACACTTTAAAGATTTTGAGATTATAAGACATACAATTTATATTTTTTAATTGCCTATATTGCCAGTTCTTCTCTTCCGTTCTACGCCCTTGATTTGAGAACTGGCAGTAAATGTAAAATTAGAAGCATTTAATGTATATTTCTTTTTTGACGTATATTTCTATATGAATAAATGATTTTTGACGATTGACTTTTATAAAGACATTTTTTGATATTACGGGTTGGAGAGGCAGTTAACAACTACTTACCGACTTAATTTTACTCTTCTCAGAACCTTTACTTTACGGCAATGCAAGTATTGTTCTTCAGTTACTGTTCTGCAATAAGGTCAAATAATTTTTCAGATTCATGAATGCTACCGGGAAATTTTTTCCTATTTAAATACCGTTGCACAACGCAAAAACACTTCCACGATGAGATGTGGATTTCGAGAACAAAAATATTGAAATACTAGCAGACCCGGCAAACGTCGTTTTCCATGTTTATTATTTCTAGGAAACATTTTTTTAGTTCAATAAAAATTACTATCTACTATAATAAAAAATAAGGATTGTTTAGAGGGTGACAATTAATGGTTGTATGTATTTTTGTATGTTGTATCATAAAAAAAAAACAAAAAGTTTTGTCTAAAAAATAAAAATTTAGGGGTGGGACCACCCTTAACATTGAGGGGGATGAAAAATGTTGTCCGATTCTCAGACTTACTGAATATACATAAAAAATTTCATAAGAATAGGTCGAGCCGTTTCGGAGGAGTTTGGGAACGAACATGACACGAGAATTTTATATTAGATTTGTACAATGCCGTATGAAGCTTAACAATTATGTTTAATGTTAATATCACTATGTTCTCACCTAATCCATGTCAGCTGGTGTTCTATTAAATGAGTTCAAGTTTCGTGGTTTCTGGAAATTTCCACTCTAAAATTTTCTATATAATAGGTTTCGTCGGCGTTCTAATTATACAATTAAAACGTAAATGTTATATGTGGTGCGTCTCAAACTTACCGAACATGTTTCTCACATTAATAATTTCACACGCGATTATTAAATAGATTTGATTAATATATTACAATGAAATTACACTTAAGTCTCTCTTCCTGTTCCTTAATGTTCCTTACATTGTATAGGACTTAAAACAAGAGCAAATGAAATTTGCCTTGACATTATTAAATAACTTTTATATGTATTTAGTGGTAATGTATCTATATTAGATTAAGACATTTAATAATTGTGAATTTTGAATGCAAAATAAATGGTAAGAGTCATTGTAAAATCAGTGACTTAAATTATTGCAAATATTAATTTATGCGACTTAGAATAACTCAAACTCAAAATATCTTTTTTTCATATAGGTAAACAAGTACACTTATGAACGTCGTTAAATTAATTGTAAATTTATATTTACTACTAGTTCGCAAGTCAAGGGCGTAGAGCGGGCAAGAAGAACTGGCAAGAAAGTTTCCGCCACTCTTTTTAATCGCTAAGTTTTGATTCATACAAATTGTTTGAATTGGAGAAAATCAATCTCAAGGATTAGGATCATTTAAGTATTCGCCAAATTTATAAAAAGTTTTATTGATTAATTTACGTTTAACAAGCAAGGGATTTGAATTTATTTAGTGATAATTCTCTAATTTCGCTTGGGAGTTTGTTGTAAAAACGAATACAATTTCCATATAAGGGTGGTGAATAGTTTAATCTCGGCAATTAATTAAACCAGCATTTAAGGCAACACATCTCTTTTATTAAGTTTTATTTTCACTCAACGTCCGTCGTTCCACAACTGAGCGTTTCTTAAGGCAGATTTTGCCGCGCACCACCACTATGTGGCACCAGCTGCCCACTGAAGTATTTCCATACCAATTCGACTTAAAGTCCTTCAAGAAAAGAGACCAAGTCTTAAAAGGCCGGCAACATACTTGCGAGCCTTCTGGCAATGTGAGTGTCTATGGGCTGCGGTATCACACTTAACATCAGGCCACTTGCTCTTTTGCCTACTATTATATAAAAAAAATCCTTATATTTTAAGTTCTACTTATGGGTAGGCATACTCAAGGATGGTGTTATTAAGGGTACTAAATAAAAAACAAATGAGAGGCTTCTCCATAAACATTTATTAGTATAATATATCTTTTTCCATATTTCATTATCCTTAACCATAATTATCGTCACCCCATAGAGCAACACATAAGAAACTACATTCAGAAGATCTACTAGGCTGCAATACTATTACCCCCTAAACGAGAGCTGCGTAAAGTACATTAAAGATTCGTTCATTATTATAAGAATTATACTTTGACACATTTATAGATATATTAAAAATCTACGTTGCCAATCGCAAATACAAATGGCGGTATTATATAAAGGCTTACAAAAGCGTCTTTCACCAAGTTTTCGAGAGTCTCTTATATGACTAGAACATTTAAAAGTTAATTTCTCTATTTTAAGCTACTCTATAGACATAAGTTTACCACCAATTAGCAGATCTACTCTTACTCTACATACATACATAGTAAAGGTTGGACTGCCGCAAGAAGATGGGTGCACGGTGTAAACAAAATTAACTTAAGTGGAACTGTTGACCCATCCTAAGTGACAGTCCGGGTCTAATCGACCGAGCTGGTGTCATGGCGTACTGATTAGGCAATAAGGCTGGGTGATTGCCCAACCAAGTAAGCAGACACTCGGCGCGATTAGATTAAGACAGAGAAAAAATAATCGTAAAAGTGGTCCGAATTTCGAAAGAAAATTCTAATCCCTGTTTCAAATCGGAAAGATATGAGAAAAAACGCAACGGGTCCAGTGAGAGGTCATAATCGGTCGGTCAGTTGGGCTTTAGCGTCGATTTACTACGATACACGGCGAACATTGAAGTAGGTGTTATAATGTAGGTGGTACAAAGCCGTGCATCGTAGTTGGAGTTGTTAGAGCTAGCCCCACTTCTGGAAGAGGCCCATACGCTGACAGCGGCAGTTGGAGCCCCACAGATTGCAGCGACAGGAGGAAGAGTGGCAGCAGTCACCAGGTCGATGGTCGCAGTTCCCACCGCGACGGATACACGCACGCCTGAAAACGTAGATCAGCGACGAACGTCTGAAACCATCACCGACTAGCCTAAGGATTGATATATGGTATAATAATATCAATCGCTCCTAATATCTGACTGACATATACGGAACGTAGACCAGAGCACCTGGATTCAGATTATAGGAAAACAAATGACGATTATTAAGCTCTGAAGGCAACAAAAACCATCATTAAAAAGGGTGAATTAGTTGTCATATATATATTTATATGTTAACTTTTACAGAATATAAAAAATAAAAATCATATTTTGTTTTAAAAGTATTCTATTCGTTAAATTTCGTTTTCCTCAAGGAAAAGCAATTATGTAATAAATATGCGCTCTTAAACAAAGATTTTACAAAGGTATCAAGAAACAAACATGCATGTTTATGTGTAGAACGCTTAATAGGGTCTTTTCTTCTTGCGCATTATATACGTATATAGTAATAAAATTGTTCAAAAGGTTGTTAATGAAGTCAAAGCATGTTATTCTAATTAAACTGGTATTATCATAACTTAGTGGTAATTTCATTATAATTGGTGACTACCGATTAACGGTCGACCAAAAAATTCTGGATGGCGCTCCAAATGCTTCATGACATTACCAATTGCTAAATCTCTTAAAATGTGTCGAACGACTCACTTGCCAACATCTTGAATTACTTGCAGGTCATTAGGGTCGTCTACATAATCCGGGCCGCTCACTTCGATGTCATCGTCACCTGTAATTTTATTAAAAATTGATTATATAGATCAAACATATATTAAATGATGTTTAGTAATAATATTTTAAATCTTCGACCGATCTTTCAAGCTTCGGAACGGATTACGGATTTAATTAATACATAGAGACATTCAAAAAGCCTTTTTAAAATAAGATTTTCACTGTTTGGACGATTTGATAATCTACAACCTACGGAAACAAAATCGATACATAGTAATATCTCTTACGTTTACTTCAAAAATTAAAATTGTCTAGAATAAAAAAAATCAACAAAAACAACTCTTCATATCTTCTTCTTCTATCAGTTTAAGATATTTGTTACTAAAAAAGAATTCAGTATCATTTGACAGTACATTAGTTACAATTTAGGTTATAAAATGGATACCGTTAGTAAAATACTTCACCTATCAAATGTCTGATACTCGCAAACATAAAATACATTATATATATGTTTACTTTTCAAAGTGACTCCTAAGCCCTCATTGCTATTCTTCAGTGGTACTGTAAATACATCTCACCATATACAGAATAATCGGCTTAAGCGAGCTTCGAGACAAGGATATTATACGTACAAATTTTAAAGCTTTCCATAATCTACCTTATTCCATTAAAATTTTCCGCTTCATATATAAATGTCACTCAGTTGCCTAAGCCCTGTCTGATCAAAATATGTCAAAGAAAGAATATTAAATGAATCAAAGTATATCCTAGCTTCAATTAAGCAATAGACATATCTTTTCTAGAATTGATTAGAGAAGAGCCCGGAATATAACACTTCCTTACTTATATACTTATTGACTACTTCAAGGCATTGGACTGGGTGTGTTGCGACCAGCTGCGTAATGACTTAGATGGAGACATACTCACCCAAATATCTACAAATATCCATACTCATATCTGGTCTTTACCGCAAAGGAACATTAGCGTGGCGGTATCAATGGCGGTTATCAACAATGCGATTCAAACCATTCAAACCCGAAATGGGAGTACGGCAAGGCTGTATATTATACTCACCTTTATTTAATATATATGGGGATTTATAATGAGAAAAGCTCTAGATAGATGGGAAAATGAGGTATCCATTAGTAATCTCAGATATGACGACGATACCACTCTTCTAGAATCAAACGAAAGCGAATGAGCCGAATTAATTTTTAGAGTGAAGAAAGAAAGTCAGTGGATTAGGCTGCAATATTAAAGCGAAGACGAAATTAATGATTCATATCAAAATCATTTATTCATTTAGGTAAATAAATACATGTTTTAATACTTTTTAATCTTAATACAAACGTTTTTATTATAATACCCGGCCGTCAAATATTATTCTTCTTAAAAAAAGGCTATAAAGGAGGTTGTTGAATGAGTAGTCGCTACAAGACTAAACCACTAACAGAAAAATAACGCATAGCTAGTTATTTTAATATTTCTCAGTCAAGTGCTCCTAACTTATAAATATTTAGGTCTACACTTAAAATATTCGTCCTTAATCCACTAACAGAGTTTTATCAAATTCACTTTCGTTATTGTAATAACTTTCTCATGGAAATAATGAAAGTAATTTTATTTTAACAAATAATACTACACAGTAATCAAAAACATCCACCATCTTGTATGTAACAAGGTTGTTTAAATTTTAAGATTTGTTTAAACCTCCCTTAACGCTGAATTCGGTTTATCGGTGGTATTTATTCAGGGGTATTTATAATCCTCAACTATTTTCTTCCTTTATCAAAGAGCGGGGTTCGCTTAAGCATTCGACCTGAGGTCGGGCAGTCTAAATTACGGGGTTGCACCAATGATGATCATGGAAAGTTTGATCTTTGACCAGGCAATCTGAGTCTTATTATTATTACTTACCAGGATCAATGTAGGAGGAATTAGCGCAATGCTGGGCCAGCATCGTCGCCGTTAGCACCAGCAGTATGGCGCCGGTGCGCGGCATGCTTGCCTAACAACCACTGCTTATCTGTAATTAAAAGTAAAGTATCACCGTTACATACTTAACATATCATGTAATATGGTTTATAATAGATAAGCTATGTTATCAGAAAAAAAATCTAATGAAATAATCAGATAGTGTGGCCCTTGTCGCAAACGGAACCAAACTTGGGGTAAATTTGAAAAAATACATTGTTTTCATTTCATTTCTGAATAAACAGTCATTGCCTATACGTAAATAATAATAATGAACACCGTAAGGAACTAAAAGGGAACCAAAATAAGACAACTAGCTGACCCGACAAACGTTGTTTTGCCATGTATAATATTTCTAAGAAACATTGTTTTAGTTCAATAAAAATAGCTGTCTACAATAATAAAAAATAGGGGTTATCGTAGAGTGAAAATTAGGGGTCCTATGTATTTTTGTACGCTTTATCATAACACACTACTTCGGTAACAAACTACTTCGTATAAGTCATGATTAATATGAATATATGTTAAAATAATACAAAACAATAGTATTGTAGAATTTGTCTGCTCAATGGCACGCACACTAAAAGTATTCTCATATCTTTTGATAACAATAAAAGAACTACATTGTGAAATATTGTTTCGCCAATAATAATATATTTCGATTTGTGACTACTGTTCCACATAAATGGTTATCAAGTCGATTCAGTCACCCTTTAAACACATCTTTGTATGGTGTTTATTATAAGCTTCGCAAACGATTATTTATAAAATATTTCGTTTTGGAATAGAGATTAGTAATATTATTTTTACTAAGTTAATGCTAATTAAACATAGAAAAACATAACTAATAAAATAATAACATCAAAGTCAAATTAGTTCAACACTAAATAGTGGTTTATTTGATTTGTCAAAGTAGCTAGATCTATAAGTTAACGACTGTTAAATGGTCGATTATTATTAAAACTAATTTAGCATAACTTTGAAACTTAAAGAAAATCAATGAAAAGTAATATTGACACTCGTTCCAATGACTGCCGTTTGACTATGTAGTCGATTCGGGTGCGGTCGCAGAACGAGTACACGAAATGTCACGAAACCTGTTTATTCACAAATTCGGGTTGCTATAACTACAAGCTCCTACATGAAATTAAACGGCTGATCTGAAACAAACTAATTAATTTTTAATTAGTTTGTTGGGATTGTTATTATCTTCAATAACTTTTGTTAAAATTTAGGTCGTGCTTTGGAATATTTGTTCCGTGTCTGACTTCCGTCCGTTCTATCGTTACAGTTAGTCAACAAAATTTCTATCGTTCATTGTTAGTTCCTGCTCTTGACTTTCTACATTTTCTCCATTTGTATAAAAGTGTGTGATTCCATAACTATGACAACGCCCGCTATGTGCGTTTCTTTCATATTTTCGCGTCAATTCAAGAAAAATATAGTTTGGAAACCGTCTTAAATCAACAAGACTACTGATTTGCCTATAAAGAAAAAAAATTAAAACAGATCAAAGGCAAAGTAATAAATGATCGATAGCAAAACTCCACGATCCAGTGTTGTAACGCCACCTTATCATACGTGTTGCAACAAATATAAAATACAAGAAAACTGTTGAAAGTTATTTATTCATTTCATATCAATTAAAAGCCAGTATAAGTTTCCCCCAACGACCATGATATAAGTAAAACATATCTATAATGTTTCTCCTCTGATATTGCTATTTGTCCACCCTCTTGAGGAAAATGTAATGCCGATAGGTATAGGGGTGTAAGATAAATGAGATTATGTTGAATAGATTTGTATAAAAAGGGCCAACTTTTCCTTTTCCATTTACTACCCGGAAGTCCAGTACTTTTCTTAAGTGTATAAGTGTTGTTTTAATAATTTCAACAATCATTATTGAGAATCACATAGACTATTTTTATAATGAATCCAAGTTGTTTGATGTATTCAAGATGTGGCAAAGAGTTAATAGTTCACCAAACGCGATTCTGTATTGATTATTGATTTCTTTTTTTAAAATCAAAATACGTTCATTCAGTTAAGATGCGTCTTAGCGCATGCTTATATATGCGACAGAGCAATACTACACCATCCGTTCGCAAAACTGCCAGGAGGCCTTGTTCTGAGAAGAATGGGCAAGAAACTCAGCAAGTTTTACCCTCCCTCTATACAATTATTCAAAGGAAAATGTTTAAACCACAACGTCATTAAAGTTACATAAGTAAAAAAAAAATCTGTTCTGTCATTTACCACATTCACCATTGCACACATATTCACAACACTTCAAAGATAACAAATTATAACAATATAACTAGAACTATTGCCACGCGTTTTTGTCTTCTAGGTATTCATTAACTTTGTAGTAACCTTTACACATTAATGTTTCATGTATTTACGCTACTATGGAAATTAATTTATATGAGTAAAGTATAAGCCTATAGCTTGAAAATCATCCTTTATAGAAGTAGGTTAAATAGGGCTGAGTATAACAAAGTTTCTCGTATGAGTCAGCAACAATCGTGAGTGTCGAGGTGACATGGAACTAATCAGAAATTGTCACTTGAGTTTCACGCTACATTGACCCGAGTCACGTTTGATCAAAGTTGAAATGATTTTAATTGATATTTTTGTTTAATAAATGTAAAATATTTGCTTATTCATGATTCTTAAAATCTTTGTCGAACTGGAAAAGTTACGATATAAGAGGAAAAGAATATATGTAAACAAAGTTGATATAAATCCCAAATTAGAGGAGTGTAATAAAAGTTATAGAAACTCTACAACACAGCATTTTGACTACATTGACTTACTGTCAAACCAAAGGTCCAACCTTAACAAAACCACTAACCAAAAACTTGAAACATGTCAGAATGTAATGAATAGAAGCTTGATGGGGAAAAAACTTTCGTCCGTTAGAGCACAAGGGTCATGGGGTGGTGACATATTATATCCATTGCATAGTGTAAACCAACCAACACTCGCACTAGTATTAGAAAGTGTTACAATAAGACGTTCTTCCGCCAAACTACACAAGTCTAATTTAATCAAGGTAATGTCATGTATATTTGACAGATGACATGTTTATAGCGTAATCATTCGGATACTAAATCAGGTTTATTGGCATTCCTAAGGGTTATATTAAACCGCACGAGGGTGTAACCGCTCTGATACAAGTTTCATTACTTTGCGTCTATTGATTGCTATTGAGACAAACCATGATTAGTATTCTCGGCTTCAATTGAACTATTTTGTTTATACCAATTATTTCAATTACATATTTTCCATTACAATTATTTGTTTCCAAATTCGTAGCGTAATAAATACAAATCAGGAAACTTCAACGATTTGTTTTGTATATGCAACTAGCTAATGTGTACTCCGGTAATGGAATGAGAAAGAAAGAAAGAAAATATTTGCTACACTTGATAGAAAACTTTTTACAGAAGTGCACTAGTCCCCACACTAAGATTCCCTGTGTCATGGGCAGCTATTTTTCATATGACATACGAATTTGAAGTAACTAAATGAGTTTTTTTCTTGATAGAACTCTCGGAATCAGTAGTATCTAACTGCACTCAGTGAAAATGTTTCTTTTGTTAATGGAAATAAACAGAAAATGAGAGAAAATGAGACGACTCATTGGTCTAGTGGTTAGTACCCCTGACTGCGAAACCATGGGTCCCGGGTTCGATCCCCGGCTGAGACGAACATCGATGTGATGAGCATTGATGTTTGCTTAGGTCTTGGGTGTTTAAATATGTATTTATATGTCTATCTATGTATAATATGTATGTATTCCGTTGCCTAGTACCCATAACACAAGCTTCACCAGCTTAGCATGGGACTAGGTCAATTGGTGTGAATTGTCTTTAAAAAAGAAAAAGAAAATACAACCTTTTAGGTCTGGTCCGCAGATTTTTGTGTCTATTTCGTGGCCACTTGTTATCATTATCATTTCTATGCCTAACACAAGCCGTCGCCTTTTTGGTTTTCCGGTCTCCTCACGATGATTACTTACACAGTACTAGCGAGTATTAAAATGCGCAAATAGAAAGTACCTATATTGGTGCATAGCTGGGGTTCGAACCTACCGACTTGAGGAATGAGAGTCGCTGAAACATCGAGGCTAACAGTGCTCTTGAAAATATGTTAATAAAAAATTAACGATTTAATTATTATAATTCACTTTAATATACATAGTCTACTCCCATTCCTTTCTCCTTTGTTACCCAGCTTTACATCCAGCAATACAATTAGTTATCGTAAACAAACTAACACAATCTTGGATTTCCAGTTTCCGAATCTTATTATCGTCATTGTCGTAAACTCATAAATGATGGATGTTCAAAGTTTTAGGACAAAGTTTCAATAACAACACGAACTGTGACGGGTTTCGACTAAGCGTTGATGTCTGATAACCTTTATATTATATTGATATCTATATTCACTTACACAGTTTTAAGTTAAGTATTTATTCATAAAATAACGGAATAATATGATGGACCAACCAAGTTTCACAAAATCTAAACGCAATCTTCTCTTCATATTCTACCGCAATTACCATGGAGAGTGTTCAGAGGAGTTGTTCGGATTAATCATCATCGTCCGTCGTTCCACAACTGAACGATACCCACTGAAGTATTTCCGAAACAATTCGACTTAGGGTCCTTCAAGAAAAGAGCATACCAATTCTTAAAAGGCATGCGAACTCGCGAACCCTCTGGTATTAAGAGTGTCCATGGGCAGCGGTATCTGTTAACATCAGGTGAACCTCCTGCCCGTTTGCCCCCTGTTCTATAAAAAAAATCTGCCGAAAAAAATCTAAAAAAAATAGATGGAGACAGCCGGAGATAAAAACAGGTCTGTCATCATTTGCCACACCGGGCTAGGAAGTTATCTCAACACGGATCAAGCGATTGCTGAAGAATAAAACGCATGGTGATAAAACTAGTTTATAAAGTATGTAGATTTAAAAAGGTTAATATAATCTCTGGGTTTAAATTAGTACAATTGTATTCATCA